TTGCCTATTCCTTTCCTGTAATTGATATAGTAGCTAAGTACTATCCTAGATGCAGAGTTTGTAAGAAGCACTTCGATTTTTACTTATGGCTTTACAAATGCGATAAATGTCAATACTATGTCCATATTAATTGTGCGACTTCAAAGACAGAGCCATTTATGTCAATCTTCTTAATTCCAGGTAATCTATATATAACTTGTGTATTCATCTCTTTAATTTGTTTTACCACTTAAAGATTTCTCAATGTTGCATGGTTTGTAATTACTTTTTAATGTTTGTTGTCATTTATCAGGTAGTGGCAAGACTTATAAAAATTTCAAAGACGATGATTATCCTAATCTTCTCCAATGTCCATTTCCGGATGAAAGTTACAACCTTCTCAGACACTACTATTTTATGAAAAATAAGAAAGAGTTTATTACTATGATTAAAGAAGAAGAGCATGGCGGAGAAATGCTCAACCATTTTAGTCATCAACACCCACTGATTCTTTTAGACACACACACGCAACAAACATCAGTACTAATTGTTCTTCACAGCCCCATGAAGAAAATTCAAGTATTATGTGACGGATGTTTGAAACCAATTATGGAAATGCCATTTTATAAGTGTTCTGAAATAAGTAGTTGCGGTTTTGTTCTTCATGAGTGGTGTGCCAGGCTACCTTCCAAGATACATGACCACCCGGGCCATCCACAGCATGCACTAGTTCTCATGTCAAACAACCCTCGTCAATTATTGGGTTTATTTTTCTGTAACATTTGTAGGTTATATTGTAATGGTTTCGCATATGGATGCATTGCATGTGAGTATTATGTGGATATCAATTGTGCATTCCTACCTAAAGAAATCACACATGAAGCTCACCCAGGCCATCTCCTCTCAAGAATCAATGCTTCTCCAGCTGATTTATCAAAAATATATTGCAATTCATGTAAGTGTTACCTGAAAAATTGCAATATCGCTTTCCATTGCCCCTCCTGTGATTTCTACTTGGATACGGAGTGTGCTTTCTTGTTGCCTGGAGTGATGAGGCACCAGTTCGATAAGCATCCATTGAGCCTAAGATACAATCCAGTTGAGAACCACCCCAGCGACTACTTCTGTGAAATTTGTGAGGACATATTTGACCCTAACAAGTGGTTCTATCATTGTAGTTGTTGTGCCCAGTCTATGCATCCTGCTTGTGCACCCTTAATCCTTGGGTGTGAGCAACATGTATATGAAAAAAAGTATAGAAGACGCGTCTTTCGTTATCTCAATGTCAAGTTTGGAGGAACAGTTGAGATCAAAAGACTTCACCCACATCGGCTATCCTTTCTTCAAGGGATTCAGTCCCATGGTCTGTGCTATTTGTGCGCTAAAGAATTGCAGTACGACATGATCTTTAAGTGCTTGGAGTGCGATGAGTATGCACTTCATTATGGTTGTGCTTTTACATTTATCAATCGATCAAGTTATGTGCTTAATTGATACTTGGTGTAACTACACACTTGTACCTTTGTTATTTGCATCTTTAAATCATTCATTTAATTAATTAGTTTTGATTTATGTCTTTTATGAGTTGGTGTCAATCATTTGCTTTGTGAACAAATTTATATTATTCTCTTGTAAAAATCTTTAATTTCATTTGAAGGTTCAGTTATTTAATAAAATACAGATCCTTTATTTGCCAAAAAAATATTAGAATCTTGTTATGTACATAAAGTGCATTAAAGGTGTTGTTTTCCTTATGGTGTCATGGTTTCTCATTGTCTAATAGTATTATGGGATGAACTTGGAAATTTTGGTATTTATCTTGCAACAAAAGATATGAAAAGTTGCAATACATAAAACTTACAGTCCGACAATATGATAAGGATTAAGGAATCATCTTCTATGTATTTTTCTGAAATTAATGACAAAAAAAAAAACAAGAATATCAGATTTTTCTCAAAACATCAAATACAATAAAATGTCAGGCTGGGATTACAACACCAATTAACCTGCTTCAAATATTAACCATTAAGACTACTATTAAATATTAGTGTATCTATATAAAAAACAAAAATGGAATCTTTTTGTGATAAAAAAAAATAGCAATGGACTTTATAGACTGCATTATAACTTATACCCTGACACACAAGTCTCTGTTCTGCAGCAACCTGATGAGAGCACAATAGACTGGTTGTTTGGTGTAATCTTGAATCTGCAAAAACATCAAATATAGAAGACAATAATAAAATAAATAATGTGACAAAGAACTACCAAACAAAACAGAACTTAGTATTTCTTGTGGACATCCAAAAAATGAAAAAAATATATATAATCTGACTCTAGTAATGATGCATATGATCATAGGAGTCATATTACTAAAACAAGTTTGTACTTAGTTATGTCTATATAAATGTAGTCATTTGCATGCAAAAAGGATATAAGCTTTCCTTAGTTTTAAGTTTTGTGTAAAGCATAATTTAAATTGGGACAGAGGGTATATAACTTTTTTTTTTAAAACATTGGTAACATGAACGAAGTTGGCATCTTCTATGTCAAATATATCTATTGCTGCTTAAGCAACACAGGAATGGCCACATACTCAAATTGCACCAGAAAAGATGGTTAAATCAACAAAATGGGAATTGTATTAATTTAAAAAAAAAAAAAAAAAAAAAAAAAAAAAAAAACCCAATAACATTACCTGATAAACCCATTGACCAAGAATAAGTGCAACTTTCCTACGTATAATCTGAAATTTAGGATGAGCATTTGTGAGTTCCAATGATATTGTCAAACCTGCAAAAAATTCACACAAACAAAAGTATAATTCATCTTACAGAAAAATAAAAAATAAATTTATATATTAAGTAAAAAAAATTATATAGATCAAAGATGTATATAAAGTCTAGAAGGGTAAGAAAAAGTCACACCGGTCCTGTAATGATCAACTGAAATGTCAAGTTAGTTCAATTTGACAGCTTTGACTTTTTAGAGGAGTCAAACATCAAGAATAAAAGTGTGATTACTTGGCGTACATTCAAAATATGTTGAAATTGAGTCTTGACTCAAGAAATACCTTTGGTAATGAGTTATAAACATAAAAAAAAAAAGCAATTTGAACTCTCGAGTTTGGTAAAAGTAATTTAGTAACAGTAGACAACATTGACTTTTGGTAAAGTCATACTCTACACAAGAATGGGAATTTCAAGTCTATGATTAGGAAGCTAGTTAATGTTTGCTATTGGGACATCTGTATGATATTACTTGATGATGCAAGTGTTTGGTAAGTCATCTTGTAATTATTCAATTAGTTGTCAAAAGATTGCAAAAAAGTTAACTTGTAAGAAAAGAAAACACTAATTTTGAAACAAATTTGTAAAAAAATAAAAATTTGGTCCAAATATAATAAAATGTAAAACCTGGGTCAAAATTCTAAAATTCTAAAATGACCTGGCATGTAAAACCCCCAAATTCAATATGGCCTTCGCTAATGTGATGAATTGTTTCTTCAATTCCACTAAGGGAGCAAAGTATGCACTGTCTTCTTAGAGAATGTTTTTAACAATATTCTCTATTAAAAATGATGGAATATTTATAACGAATTTAAAACCTAGGAATGGGAATAAAGTCGTAAACATTACTTTCTATTGCAAAATTAAGCCAATTAAGTAGAGATTGCTTGATATTTGCAACCAGATATATTCCCATTCATTCATTCATTCCTTTTTAATGCGTTCAATTTACGTTCCCATCTTCACCAGCAAAACTTCTACCTTTGCAACGTTGATATCCAATTCGTCCTACTTATATTACATGTATGTATATGTATGTCTCTTTTTCTTTCATTTTGAGGTTATTGTATATTTGTATATGTTTTGTGTATATATTATACCTAAGATATGTACAACACATACTTTATATATTATAGATTAAAAACTTAGAAGAGTTTTGATATCATAAAAGACCTTATATTTTAGGTTTTTTCCAAATTAAACCACATCTTTATTTTTTTCCTAAAAGTACCTTACATTTTTCTATTTTTTATTTTTCAATTTGGCCATTTTAGCAGGTTTACCGATAATCTTCCAGTTTTAGACAAATTTTTCTAGAAAAACTCAACTTTTTTTTTTCCCGAAAAAACCTTAGATTTTTATTTTATTTTTCTCAAAAAAAAAACTTCACATTTAACATTTTTTTTCGGTAAAAAAACTTAGGGTTTTCCAGAAAAATTGTTTAAAATATATGGTCTTTATCAAGAAAAAAATTAATTTGAGGTTTAATCCAGAAAGCACTCAAAATATATGGTCTTTCATGACATCATATCATTAATACTACTATATGGATTTCTACATGCATATATTTTGAAGCTAACATCATTTACTTAAGAATAGCATATTCTAATATTTAATTATGGAATTAATAAAAGTTCACAAAGCTAAGTTGAATTTAAAGCAAAACTAAATCTTTTTTGATTGTGAAAGTAGAATATTTTCCATGATAAGCAATGAAGTGTTGATCATCAGGTGGCCATCTATCATAAAGCTTTGATTGGTAAACCAAGTTAATTGAGATGGGTGTTAATCGCACGATTGATATATATATATATATATATATATATATATATATATATATATATATATATATATATATATATATATATATATATATATATATATATATCATTCAAACTTTCGTAGGTAGATTATTCTATTTATTAGCTGTGAATGACTTAGGCATGTTTGTGTTGTGTTATTATCTTAAATTTTATCTTTACTTTCAATCTATTTGCTTCAAAGATTTCGATGTTGAAATCATGTCCTTGACTAAAAAGTACAAGTTGAAAGCACCAGCTGATAGCATGACTTTTACTTGATGAATTTAAGGTCTTACGCATACATATCTATAAACATTGGATCAGTTATTCTTTTTATTGTTTGTTATGACGACCTAACAATTTAGGTTTCTAGTTTTATTTATTTGTTGTAGTTGCAATAGAGCAGCATCTGCACTTCACTCATGATCATATGCTCCACCTTTTCCATCTGCAACCAGCTAGCCACGATAATGAAAACTCTAATGATGATGATGAAGAAGAGAAAGAAGAAGGTGAGGAGGATGATTTTGTGGCTGAAGATAAACATGTTGGACAATGCAAAATGTGTGAGGAACATATCTACTCATTTCATATGAGTTACTACAAGTGTAAGGATTGTGATGACTACTCGTTGCACAAATTTTGTGCAGAAAGGCCAAAAACCCTACGAAACCACCCATCACATCCCCATCCCAACCATAATCTTACCTTGTCTGAGGAATTCTGTTGGATATATTATCCAAAATCAAATGAATGGAAATGTAGTGTCTGCAATCTAATTAAGCAAAAGAAATTATTCAATTACATGTCTTATTTGCAGACTCAATATGGATATTATATGTGCTACTATGTCTCAACAAAAGATGGACCACCCAAGCCACCGTCACCAACTGCAACGTATGTTGGTGATTTTGATCATCAATGTTATTTAAGTGTAATGAGATTACTTTGTGTTGACCAAAAATGATCTTGATAAATATTAAACAAGTAAGGAAGGTGTAGAGTACACACTTGTTTAAGTTTGATCAAGTTTCAAAGTACACTGTCATTTAGGGGCAAAGCCCCTAAATGAACGGGGGTCCGGGGGCAGCGCCCCTGGGAGCGGGGTCCAAGGGGCGGCAGCCCCTGGCGGGGACCATTGGTTTGACCCTTATCCATATATCCGTTTTATGACAGTTTTTATGGTTTTATGACAGTTTAAAACTGTCATATGACAGTTTTCAGACAAAGTTGTTAAAATTTGGTTTTGGTCTCATTTTCTGGTACATATGAAAATATCATCAAACATTCTTTGTTCTTGTCTCTCTGAGTCTTATCCAATTGAAGATTTGGGAGTACCACCAAATACTTCGATTTGAAAGTGATAATCACAATTCTCAGAATTTCCAAGCCTTTCTAAACCCAAATTTCTAACAACGTATGGCCAAGGAGTTGGTATCACGTTGCAGTGCTTGTGGCGAAAAACATCAAGGGACCTTCTACCAGTGCACCACATACCTGTGGTACTCGATCCACTTAGATTGTGCTTTGTTGCCAACAAAGTTACTTATCCAACAACATACCGATGCCACTTTCACTCATTCTCATCCACTTACCCTTGCCTATTCCTTTCCTGTAATTGATATAGTAGCTAGGTTCTATCCTAAATGCAGAGTTTGTAAGAAGCACTTTGATAGTTATTTATGGCTTTACAAATGCGACAAATGTCAATACTATGCCCATATTAATTGTGTGACTTCAAAGAGAGAGCCATTTATGTCAATCTTCTTACATCCAGGTTATTTATTTATTCTTCTCTTTAATTTTTTTTACCACTTAAAGATTTCTCAATGTTGCATGGTTTATTACTTTTTAATGTTTGTTGTCATTTATCAGGTAGTGGCAACACTTATAAAAATTTCAAAGACAATGATTATCCTAATCTTCTCCACTGGCCATTTCCGGATGAAAGTTATAACCTTCTCACACACTATTTTATGAAAAATAAGAAAGAGTTTATTACTATGATTAAAGAAAAGCATGACGGCGAAACGCTCAACCATTTTAGTCATCAACACCCACTGATTCTTTTAGACACACAACAAGCATCAGTCGGTAACAAATCAATTGTTCTTCACAAACCCACGAAGAAAATTCAAGTATTATGTGACGGATGTTTGAAACCAATTATGGAAATGCCATTTTATAAGTGTTCTGAAATAAGTACGTGTGGTTTTGCTCTTCATGGGTGGTGTGTCAGGCTACCTTCCAGGATACATGACCACCCGGGTCATCCAGAGCATGCACTTGTTCTCATCTCAAACAACCCTCGTATGTTCATGGGTTTATTTTCTTGTTACATTTGTAGGTTATATTGTAATGGTTTCACATATGGATGTACGACATGCAACTATTATGTAGATATCAATTGTGAATTCCTACCTAAAGAAATCACACATGAAGCTCACAAAGGCCATCTCCTCTCAAGAATCAATGCTTCTTTAGCTAATGTATCAGAAAAAATATGCAATTCATGTAATTGTTTCCTGGATTATGGCAATATCGCTTTCCATTACCCCTCCTGTGATTTCTACTTGGATACGGAGTGTGCTTTGTTGTTGCCTGGAATGATAAGGCACAAGTTCGATAAGCATCCATTGAGCCTAAGATACAATCCAGTTGAGAACCACCCTGGCGATTACTTCTGTGAAATTTGTGAAGACAAATTTGACCCTAAAAAGTGGTTTTATCATTGTATTTGTTGTACCCAGTCTATGCATGTTGCTTGTGCGCCCTTAATCCTTGGGTGTGAGCAACATGTATATGTCAAGTATGAGAGAGGTGTCTTTGAGTTTTTGAATGTCAAGTTTGGAGGGACGGTTGAGATCCAAAGACTTCATGAACATCGACTATCCTTTCTTCAAGGGATTCAGTCCCATGGTCTATGCAAAGTGTGTGGCAAAGAATTGCAGTATGATATGATCTTTAAGTGCTTGAAGTGTGAGTATTCAGTTCATGGTACATGTGCTTTTTCATTTGGCAATTGATCAAGTTATGTGCTTAATTGATGCTTGGTGTAACTAAACACTTGTACCTTTGTTATTTGTATCTTTAAATCATTCATTAAATTAGTTGTCAGTTTATGTTTTTAATTTTATGAGTTGGTGTCACACCCCAAAACCGAAACGGTGGAAACGTTCTGGGGTGGATGACATCATGTCAAGTATCACAACATATGCAGTATAGTAATCAAAGTACACCAACCATTGCATTAATAGTAATAGTTTTACATAGTTTACATTACATAGAAACATCAAAGTTATACAAGTAATAATATAGGTGCAGCTTGGTACTAAACTGACTTCACCAAAAGCTCCTGCGATGTACCTGTCTATTGTTGACCTGAGAATACAAGTTTGAAAGCGAGTATCAGCATTTTTATAAATGCTAGTGAGTTCATGAGTATTTAGTGTCATTTTATTCAAATAACTTTATAAAAAGTGGTAGTTTAGAATCAACGGTGTATTAGAGTCCCTTTCCAGAAAATCCTATATTTTCTAAATAAGAGTAGTCTTTAAAGAAAGTAGAAGGATATCAAAAGTAAAAACTTTAGGGAAAATAATATAGGCCTCAATAGGAAATACTGTTGACTAAGGCAAAAGAAATCATAGACTCCAGGAGAGTATCGAATGAACGACACGCCTGGCTCAGTCTAACAAAAGGAGATACATACCCTAGACAGTATCAGATGCATGATACGTCTAGCAGGGTCTAAAACAGAGAGACACAGACCCCATACAGTATCAATTGAATGATACGTCTAGCAAGGTCTAAAAACAATGAATACAGTGTTAATTCCCGTTACCTTAAGGCCATGAATTATAAGGTAACCCCTCGTAACCATACTGATAGACACTAGAGAACTTGACGCCTTGTAAGCGTCAAAAATAATGTGACATTTGTCACCCCTTGGCTTGGTAGGCCGCGGACTGTAGCTAGCAGTCAGGGTGTAGGGGTGTCAATCTCGTATAGATCTATACACACAATGTTCGCTCTCCCTACAAGAGACTCTGGTTACCAACTAGACAACGAAGAAGGTCGTGTCCTGAAGATGCATCTCGTATAGTGAGTTCTGATGTAAAATATTGGACTAATGATAGAGACTCACAACTAAACTGACCGACGTAAACCTATATCTCTATGCCTGTATACATAATATATAATTAATGATCAAACGACCCTCGAACGGATATCCGATCCCACCAGACCACATCTCAATGAAGAAAAGGAAATAGGGCGAACTAGCCTTCCTAAGTCCTTTAAACATTATTTATATAACTATACAAGCATAGGCATACATTTAACTAAGTAGAAGCATTTAACGAGGTTGAAGTGTTTATCGAAGTAGGAGTGTTTCACGAAGTGGAAGCGTTAACAAGTAGGAGCATATCACTAAGTAGAAGCGTATCAAGAAATAAAAGCGTTAACAAGTAGGAGCGTATCACTAAGTAGAAGCGTATCAAGAAGTATAAGCGTTAACAAGTAGGAGCTTTAACTAAGTAGAAGCGTATGAAGAAGTATAAGCGTTAACAAGTAGGAGCGTATCACTAGGTAGAAGTGTATCAAGAAGTATAAGCGTTAACAAGTAGGAGCGTATTACTAAGTAGGAGTGTATCATTAAGTAGAAGCGTATCAAGAAGTATAAGCGTTAACAAGTAGGAGCATATCACTAAGTAGAAGCGTATCAAGAAGTATAAGCGTTAACAAGTAGGAGCGTATTACTAAGTAGGAGCGTATCATGAAGTATAAGTGTTAACAAGTAGGAGCGTATCACTAAGTAGAAGCGTATCAAGAAGTATAAGCGTTAACAAGTAGGAGCATTAACTAAGTAGAAGTGAAGCAGTAGTATCTTAACCAAGTAGGAGTATAAAAAAAACATGGAAGAAAACTTTGATGAAAACTTTGGAGAACCTTTATACTTTAAGAAATCATGACTTGGTATTATTTTGTAAAATAAGTTTGAAAACCTTTTAGAAATCCTTTGAAAACCTTTCATAAACACATTTTGGTTATGACTTCGATAAAACAATATAAGTAAAGATTTGAACAAGTAAAGACGTTTTAGAAAACCATTTTCAGTATCATACTTGGTAAAACGATTGACAGTGTAATAAATCCTTGTGCATGCAGGTTATCAATCACATGTGATTGATATGATAACCGGCATGTTTAACTTGTATTCCCCCCCCCCCATAAAACATGTAAAAACATTTAAAAGGTTAATTCAGGGGTATGAACTCACCTGTTGTAAGCGGATCCGACGGAGATGTCGGTATAGGACGTTAAGTGTCAAGTGAGGACTTGACCACACACTCGAATCCTATTTAACATGTAATGATACATTTAAGTATCTAAATAGTCATTTAGTAACTAATTAAGCAAGTAAAGATGTCTTACGACATAAAAACACTTTGCTACAAGTGCTAGAAGTGTCTCGGGTAACATCTAAGGGTGTGTATGGCCTAGATAGGGAGTTTACTCTTCAAGAGTAAATTCTTTATAGAGTTTACGGCCCTAAGACATTTTCCCCATGAGTTTAAGGCCGTAAACTAATGGATGGTGTGTTCTTTGATGCATTAAGGTCTTATAACACTTGTGGTATTAGGCTAGGTTCAATTCTAGGGCTTATGAAGGGTTTAAGGCTTCAAAATGGACCATTTGAGGAGTTTACAGTCCATTGACACTCCTTGAGGAGTTTATGGCCGTAAACTCCATGGTTTACAGTAGTAAACTCTTGGACACCTTCCATTCTTTGATTTCAAGGTCCTTGGCTCATTCCTAACAAGTTCTAGTGAGGGTATAAGGCTTTTTAGGGGGTAGAAACTTTATTTGGCATGTTTTAGGGGAGTTTATAGTCTAAGCATATGCTTGGGCCGTAAACTATAGTTTGCTCTCCAAATGATGATGTTTGGGTGTTCCAAGTCCGAAATGGTAAGTCCCTTAGTCATATCTTAAGCCTAAATGAGGTTTGGAAGTGTTTTGGGCTTGATTTGCATGCTTAGAGGGTGTTTACGGTCTAAGCATATGTTTGGGCCGTAAACCCTCTTTCAAGCCCCCAAACTTGATGATTCAAGGCTCAAACACTTCTAGGTTTAACCCAAAACTAGTTTCTAAGCCTAAATGAGGGAGTTTTGGGCATTTTGGCACCATTTTAGGTGTTTACGACCTAAGGAGGTTCTTAGGCGGTGAACTCCTTTTAGTTGGCTTTCTTGAGTTTTTTTTGAACTATAGCAACAAGCAATGATGTTTAGAACAAGTTAGGGTAAAGGAACTTACGTTTTGGAAACGAAAACTTGCGGTTTTAAGGTGAAATCAGACTTGAGGAGAGAGAGTAGAGAGAGAAAGTGGGTCTAGGTGGTAAAAGGGTTCTAAGGAGTGTCCACCCTCCCTTATATAGGGCTTGGGTGTTGTACCCGGTATACGACTACCCGATACTTATGTTTAACGGGGTTTAAAATTTTACCCGGTTAAATGGCCGTAAATAAAAATAAACTTTTTTTTCCAAATAAATGGAAAGATTACCTACGTGTTTTTATTTTCGCCTGACGAATATTAATTAAAATATTCCAACGGGTTTAACTCCGGTCAAAAATATTTTCGGGATAAATTTGGCTAATTTTTGACGTAATTATGTAACACCCAAAGTTTTGAAGGCCAAGAAAGGAAAGAAGCCCTAATTTTAAGGGTAGACTCGGCGAGTCCAAGGAGGGACTCGGCGAGTCCGAGCGGGATCTGGGTCGAGGAGTAAGCGACCGACTCGGCGAGTCGGCCAAGGTGACTCGACGAGTCTGGTTTGAACGGGGAAAACCCTAATCCCGGGAGTTGTACCCTATTTAAAGGGTGTTATGTCCCTCCCTCGGCCCCTATATCACCCTAGAGAACCAGTGCACCCTTGATTTCGTAAGAGCTTCCATTATTTGAGAGATAAAGCTTGGAGGAAGGAACTTTGGGGAAAGGAACTTGAAGATCAAGTGGGTTGCTTAAAAGGAGGAGGTGTAGATCCGAGATCTACTTCAGTGGTATTCATCTTGGAGGTAACAAGCTGCTATTTTTCCCTTCTTTGCACCTAGATCTATGTGTGTATTTGGGCATTCATGGCATTAGAGTGACCTTTTCGAGCTAGGGGTTCAGATCTGAGGTTGTTACCTCAGATCCATGCTTATTTTGATCTAAAACCCCGTAAAGTATCATCCATTGAATTGATTTTGAAGCCCCTTGGCCTTAAACCCTAGTTTATGGCATATTTTGCCTAGACCCCCTTCTCTACACGTAAAGTTTGCAAATTTACGTGTGGAATAGGCTTGGGAAGGGTAGATCTACAGCTTGGAGTCCATGCATGACTCAAAAGTCCTCTGCATGTAAGGAGAACTGAACGGACTCGGCGAGTCCTTTGAGTGGACTCGGCGAGTAGCATGAAGTTGTGGAGAAACTCGACGAGTGGGATGAACAACTCGTCGAGTCGTATGAAGATTGCCTTGTACTCGACGAGTCTGTTCTTGGACTCGGCGAGTCGGGTCGCGAAACCCCAAACCCTTCGAGTTGAGACTCGAATCAGTGAGTCGGGTGGAGACTCAGTGAGTTGGACAGGTTAGGACTCAAAAATCGGTAGACTCGTCGAGTCGCGAATGGAAGGAATCTGATCATTTTGAACTCGGCGAGTCAGTACGGTGACTCGGCGAGTAGGGTTGACCTGGAAGGTTGACTTTGACCTTGGACCAGGGTTGACTTGGTTATCTTTCGGGGGTCAGTTAGACTCAGTGATGCATTGATATTGGTAGTTCGGGGAGCAAGGGGAGCAGGAGTTCCGTGAGTTGTCGGGCAGCAACTAGTGAGATCATCAACAAGTTCAGCCAGTGCAGGTGAGTTCGCTTTGTGTGAATGGGTCTAAGGCCGCAATGTCGGCCCATGTAGTTATGAGTAGAAGACCCGGGGGTTAGCCCTAGGCATAGTATGCTAGTATGATTTTCAGGACGAGGTCCAGTAATAG